TCTGCAGACAAGCAGCGCACAGAACGTCTAGAAGTGCCCAAATGCGCGGGGAGGTCGTTAACCTTATAAGCTTCCTTATCACGGGATCTCGAAGTACACCAGTCTTTCCGCCGGCAGATGTATTTATATAACGAGGTCAATATTCCTTTTAGCGTGCAGGAATATTTCATTTGTACGAACCGTCTTCTCTGGCTCCACAGTTGTGCACATCTGACAACAGGAGTTTATCGGTCTCCGTATCAACATCTTACCTCTCTCCTCTCACACACCCCTTAGCTATGCCCAGAACAAACCAGACATGCACACGCCATTCCGCAGAAAACAAAACACAACTGGGGAGTTTCCAGCGACAGATCCCATACTGCACAGTTTCGTGAAGTGGAGTCTGTCAGATGTTGGCTGAAGTATTTTCCCCCCATCAAAGAGCGCAAGGTCTTCGTCTGAACATAGCTTTACACGCATTTTACAGGAATAACAGAGTCATTTTGAAATGACAACAAAAGGGAGATTTGAAATCTTCGCATCATTAACTTTAAAGTTGACCTTTTAATTCCTTTAATTCCCATCTAGACTCTAGACATAAAACGTGCCGCCTGATATTTTGTGCCCAAAAATCAAGAGAGTTTTTTTTTTAAATTTGCGCAATAGCACCTTTAAAAACGATTACTTCAAGTTTACATGACCGCAGCGATTGTGAATGAGCGAGCGATACAGTAGCAAAGACGGGCTCGGTCAGTAACAGGAACATTCGTCCAGAGGAAACCCCGACAAGATCCTGTAGTTCGGGGGGTATCCGGGATTTTGCCTTGGTACTTTTTGCGTTTTGATACGAAATATAAATCAGGTGCAAATAAATTCTACCAAATCCCCAAAGTCGTACTGACGTCCTGTTGTAAAACTCCTGGAACGCTAAGATTTTCTCTCCCAGCAGCCTCGTCCCCCCAGAACAAATGCAAGTACATACTAATAAAAATGAATATGATGCACACAGATGAGTTCTAGCTACATTCCTATAAAATAAAAGCACGGGAAGTTTGCTTTTCTGCTAGTGTGACGTGAAAGGTTTCTGGGAAAGAGTAAATAAAATATTAAAACGATGCTTTGCTGACACAAACACACACAGAAGCGAAGATGAAAGCTGGGGAGGTGACACAACGGAATAATAATAATAATAATAATAATAATAATAATAATAATAATTGCTTGCACTTATATAGCGCTTTTCTGGACACTTCACTCAAAGGAATGATCGCACTTGTTTGACAGGGCGCTTAAAGAACTTTCCCGAAACACCCTTCCCCGCCTGAGAGCGTGCTGCACTATAAACTCATGTTTCCGGGACTGTTGACCGACCTGGTTCCCTGTTAATTGCCCTCGGAGTGCGGTTACTTGCCCCACCAGGAGAGGGCGCTGTGCTGGCCTGATCACACGCTACATGGGATGGTTTCACAAGCAGCGGGCACAAAGGGGAGGAATAAGACCTGTACTGAAATGGAAATGTTTTCCAGATGCAGGACCTCTGTCTTTAACAACAACAACAACAACAATAATAATAATAATAATAAAGGAGGAGCAGCAGAGAAGGCAAAAAGGCCTGACTGTTTAACAGCTGTGGAGCACAAAGAGTGATTGGCCTAAATTACCACAAAAGTACACTGCTTCACCTGCAGTCTGTACAGTAAATCTGCTTCACCTGCAGTCTGTTCTGTACAATACGACTGCTTCACCTGCAGTCCTGTACTGTACAGTAAGACTGCTTCACCTCCAGTCTGTACTGTACAGTAAGACTGCTTCACCTGCAATCTGTACAGTAAGACTGCTTCACCTCCAGTCTGTACAGTACAGTAAGACTGCTTCACCTGCAGTCTGTACAGTAAGACTGCTTCACCTCCAGTCTGTACTGTACAGTAAATCTGCTTCACCTCCAGTCTGTACAGTACAGTAAGACTGCTTCACCTCCAGTCTGTACAGTACAGTAAGACTGCTTCACATACCCGCGGACCCCCAGAACGCGCTTCTCTGCTCCTAATGCTCACGATAATCTCATACCGCGTCACATGACAGGAGGTCGCAATTTCTACAGCGTGATCGTGAAAGGGCGTTGTATCCC